CTGTATGGTTAATGTGATCTCCAGCAGTTCGATCACCATCATTTAAGGCCCTCGTCTCATTCAAAAACTGACGCAAATCTCCCTTGTATTTCGCACCACCAATTTGTTCTTGACGAGGTTGCTCTTCATCAATCTGAGCATCCTCATCACGATTTTTTTTCTGAAGTCTTCGACACGTAGTTTCATCATGGCCTTGATGCTTACAACAATTACAATACAGTGGTAAATTATCGTAAACGATTTCTTGAAAAACCTCCAGTACTTTTCCAGAAATTGTATCCACACTTTGCAACCTTACGCGATTAGGATGTTTGTCAAGCAAGTCTAAGATCACCTTCACCCTAGCAGTGCTAGGTCTAGACTTAGTTTGTGTTGCCTTATCAATGGCAATTGGTTTTCCTACAGCAGATGCTATAGAAACAATGAAGGCATCGCAAATAAATCTGGTGACAAATTCGGCAACGATATCCAAACCACTGCTTTTGTTGTTTCCTCCTTTGGGTTATAACCAATCGTCCATGGAAATACACGATATTGAAGCTGAACACCCTTATACAGCAGATAATTAACAGAATGAGCTAAAGAACTTACATAATCATCATAACGATCAAACCTTAGCAGTAATTGTCTTGGTGCGATTAAACCGATGATACATCGACCTTTAACACCTAAGTGTTTGGGCAGTAATTCTCGTTGCTCATTGAGTTCTAGTGCTCCTGGAGATACTTTCATCACTACTGATTGATGCAAGCCTTCCTCCACAGCAAACTGTTGTCGTTCTTCTAAGGAAAACATTACAGTTGGCTCTCCATGGATGAACTGGACTGGTTTAAGTTTTGGAGTTGTGCGAGGTATGGGGTCTATTTTAGTTGCGATTTGCTGAGCATATGTGGGTTTTATTGGTGGCTCTCCCACAGCCAAAGGCTGGGGAGAGACGACAACATCCATGGCTGCTCAAAACGTCACCATATCATTGACGTGAAAAACTGAAAATAACAACAAAATCTAGAAAATTCTGCTTGCTACAGTAAATCGCGAAATAGAATTTAAGATCTAGAAAAATAGGTTATGAATATGAGGATGAAACCAGTTGGGGATTGTTCTCTAAGAGAAGGGGGTTCTTTTAAGACCAATCTTGTGATATTACCTTGCCGGATGTCGGAGTTATGGCTTGGTGAATAGTGACAGAATTACTATTCACCTTCTTCCTAGAGAGAAGGAGGAGGATTTTTTGTTTTGTAATCCTTTTCTAATCATTAGATTTTGATCTAACATTTGCAATAATTTACAAAAATTTAGACCGTGATTTAATATTTTCTCATCAAAATTTTATTTTATTTTTTAAAAAAATAGATCGTGGTCTAAAATATATTATCTCCGTTCACTTTTAGTTGCCCATTTTTGACTTTGCAACAACAACAACAACATACCCGATATAATTCCACAAGTGGAGTTTGTGGAAAGTAGTGTATCTACAGACCTTACCCCTACTTGGAGAGGTGAGAGGTTGTTTCCAGTAGACCCTCGACTCAAGAAAAGGTGGAAAGAAGAGGGAGACAAAAGACGATAAATAAAAAGGGAAAAAAAATAGCATCAAATAATAACAATGAGGGAGCAACAATTTCTAGTAAAAGGAGAGAAAAAGTAGCATCAAATAGAAACAATCAGGGAGCAATAATTTCCAGTAGCAATTTTCAATAATAATGGACGCGGTTGCTAAGTACCAGATATAATAACAAACTAGAAGAAAATATCTTTCAACCAGCAACAAGAATATTACTAGTACTACTGGTAAACCTAGGAGAAACTCACAACTACCTGTTAATCCACCACCTTAATCATCGACCTCCACACCTTCCTATCGCTAGTCGCGTCCTTGGTTAGGTGATGCACCGACATGTCCTACCTAATCACCTCTCCCCAATAATTCTTTGTCCTATCCCTGCCCTCCCTCAAGCCCGCCATGGTCAACCTCTCACACCTCCTGAGCAGGGCATATATGTCTCTCTGTCACGACCCCAAACCAGACCCGATCGTGATGGTGCCTCTCGTGAAGACAAGGTCAGTCGACACAATCCCAATATTCATTTCAAAAATTTTAATAAGTCAATTTAAGTCATTTATAAGAATAAATCCCCAACAAGTATAAATTTAGCGAAATAGAACAAGTGCGGAAATAGATACAGCCCGACATCAGGGCGTCACAAGTCACGAGCATCTACTAAGGTCTAAAATATAACGGAAATTCTGAAAATGTACTAAATACAGTCTAATGACATCAAGAGGGAGAAAAGCAGTGTTGCGGACATCAGCGGCTACCTCGCTAAACTCCAATGACTCTGTCTCTGATCAACCAATACTCGCTATTGGGTGTAGAAATACCTGAATCTGCACACAAGACTGAGCGATAAAAAATCCCGTAAAGCACATCAACATGTTGTATAGAAGCAGTATAAAACAAGTAAGAAAGCAATGAATCTGTGAAATCTCTTAAAATATCTTAGCTCAGTTTAAACTTCTTTAAAATACTATTTTACAGTTAAACAAGTAAATGAAAAGCAACTAGAACAGATAAGCACAGAAAAAACTGCCCCTTAGGCACAAATACCAACAGAAACAGCCCCTCGGGCAACAACATAGAACAATACCATGCCCCTCGGGCTATATCTCACATCACAATGGGTACCCGCGCTCACTAGGGGTGTGCAGACTCCTGGAGGGGTCCCTTACAGCCCAAGCGCAATATCAAGCCATCTCGTGGCATCATCAATAGGCTCTCGGCCTCATATCAACAAGTCACCTCATGACGTACAAATCTCAGGCCATCGGCTTCATAATCATAATCAGTGTTTCATCACAACATAGGCCATTAGCCTTACTCAGTCAGAATCTCACAGCCACTCGGGCAATAGTAAAACATGGTGCTCAGCCCAAAATATCATTTAAGTGTTAAAGTAGAGTAAACATTGTTGAGTTATGAAAACAGTAGAATATAGCATGACTGAGTTCCACCATAAAGTCAAAACCATGAGGAAATATAAATAAAAATCACCTAAGGGTTCAAATAGTTGGCACAAGGCCCAAGTACGACATTCAGCCCAAAACATGATGATATCAAATAGTTTTTAGTCAAATACGTGGTAAAATAGTCATTCGCGACGGACTAAGTAACAATCCCCAACAATACACGACCCCACGCTCGTCATCTAGCGTGTGCGTCACCTCAATATAGCACAACGATGTGCAAATCCAGGGTTTCATACCCTCAGGATAACATTTGCAATCATTACTCACCTCGATACGGTCCAAACTCTAGTACGCGATGCCTTTGCCCTCACGAATCGACCTCCGGATGCTCCAAATCTACTCACAATCAGTACATAACCATTAAAATATGCTACGGGAACAAAGCCCACTCGAAAATATTCAATTTATATCAAAAATTTCAAAATTGCTCAAACCCGGGCCCCAAGCCCACATCTCAGAATCCAATAAAAATTACATCAATAGAATCCTTATGCTCTCATGAGTTTATACATACCAAGAACATAAAAATGGGACCTCAATTGCCCATTCAAATCCCCAAAAGAATTCTCAAACTTTTCTTCCATTTTTCCCAATTTTCACTCTAATTTCTCAAATTAAATGATAAAATTCAAGACTAAATCATGGAATTAAACCAAATATGAGTGAAGAATACTTACTCCCATAGCTCCACTGAAGATCCCCTCAAATTTCACCTTCTCCCGAGCTCTCCAATGACTTTTATTAAATTGGACATAAACCCTCGTTTTCAAAATATAATCTGACTGCCCAGGTATTGCTTCATCGCGAATGCGGCATATCCCTCACGTTGGCGAAGCACACCGCTTCACAGGCTGAAATTCCTTCTACGCTAATGCGAGACCTCTCTCGCGAACGCAATGTACAAAACACTCTACACTTCGCGATCACGACCGCTACTACGCGAACGCGTAGAACAAATGCACTGGGGACCCAGCTACTCCTCTTCCTCTATGCGAACACGACCTAAGCATCGTGAACGCGATGACCATAGACTTCTCACCGTCGCTATCTAGGGACCATCTTCGCGAACGCGAAGGCCAACTCCACAGCCTTACACCTTAACCCTTCGCGAACACGGGACATGCATTGCGAACGTGAAGGTCAAAAACCTACAACACTAACAACTTAAATTCTGCAATTTTTCACAACGTGAAATGATCCGATTGACCACCCGAAACTCACCCGAGTCCCTCGAGACCTCAACCAAACATGCCAACATATCTCATAACATCATTCAAACTTGTTCTAACCTTCAGAACACTCAAAATAATATCAAAATACCAAATTGCATCGGATTCAAGCCTAAGAATTCCAAGAATCTTCTAAATTACGCTTTTGATCAAAAATCCAACCAAACCACGTCCGAATGACGTGAAATTTTACACACACATCCCAAATGACACAACGGAACTACTGCAACTCCTGAAATTCCATTCCGACCTCTATATTAAAATCTCACCTATCAATCGGAAAACGCCAAAATCTCAATTTTGTTAATTCAAACCTAAACCTTTCACGGACCTCCGAAATGCATTCCGATCATGCTTCTAAGTCCCAAATCACCTAATGGAGCTAACAAAATCATAAAAATTCTGATCTTACATCATATACCAACAAGTCAAATCTTGGTCAAACCTTTCAAATTTCAAGCTTCATACTGAGAACTGTTCTTCCAAATTCACTCCGATTACCCTAAAAATCCAAACCGACAATTAACATAAGTCATAATATATCACACGGGGCTAGTCATGCTCGAGAAATAGCGAGCAAAGTGCAAAAGCTCAAAACGACCGGTCGGGTCGTTACACTCTCATCCTCACATGCCCACACCATCGCAACGTTGATTCCCACAACTTGTAATCCACAGATGCAACTCCCACCTTGTCCCTAATAATTTCATTCCTAATCTTGTCTTTCATGGTATGTCTACACATTCATCTCAACATCCTCATTTCAGTTATGCTCATCTTTTGGACATGGAATTTCTTAACGAGCCAACATTCAGCTCCATACAACATAACAGGTCTAACCACCACCATGTAAAATTTGCCCTTAAGTCTGAGCGGTACATTCTTATCGCATAAAACCCCCGAAGCTAGCCTCCATCTCATCCAATCCGCTCTAATGTGTTGAGTAACATCCTCGTCAATCTCCCTGTTGCCTTGAATTATAGACTCAAGATACTTGAAACTATATCTTTTGGGAATGACTTGAGTTTCAATACTTGCTTCCACTTCTTCTTCATATCTCTCATCACTGAACTTGCACTCCAAGTATTCAGTTTCCGACCTACTCAACTTGAAATTTTTGGACTCCAACGCCTGTCTCCAAACTTCCAACATAATGCTAACATCCCAGCGCATCTCGTCAATCAGTACTATGTCATTAGTAAATAACATACACCATGACACCTTCCTTTGCATGTGTCGTGTCAACACATCCAACGCTGCAACAAACAAAAACGAGCTAAGGGTTGATCCCTAATGCAACCCTATCTCCATAGGGAAATGTTGCGAGTCTCCTCCCGCCATCCTCACCCGAGTCTTAGCACCTTCGTACATGTCCTTAATCACCCTATTGTACGCTATCAGTACGGGACTCCGCTAATTAACCTCCAAACATCTCTATAGCACTTCCATCAGGACTTTGTCATAAGTCTTCTCAAGGTTAATGAATACCATATGCAAGTCCTTTTAGTTTTGCACTCCCTTTAAAAATAATTAGTATCCGTACCCGTGCATTGCGCGGAAAATATCAAATATAAATTTTTATAAGAAAATATTACATGAAAAATATGGAACACAAAGAAGCATGCAAATGATATTATTTTTTAAACATGTAATGCACTAAATATTCCTAAATTGAAGTCATGCAAAAACACAGTTATCCATTTTAATAAACAGCTATCAAGGAAGAAAATAAAACATTAGATTATTGGCTACATGTATTAGCATTGTTTGAGAAAGGCAACAAATAGCTGCTTAAGATTACTTGATGAGAATTAAGATTGTTTGATGAGACCTTTGTAATAAAGAGATTGAAATTAGGCAAACTACAAAATAAATTAGGCAATTACATAATTTCCAATACCATTAAAAGGGTGAAATACAACAGAATTGCACAAGGTACACAGGCGTGCAATCATATCATATCAACTTTTTGTTGTTGTCTCTAACTTGTATTCTACATGATGGATAAAATCAATGTCTCAGAAAAATAATATATTATTTTATGGAATGTCTACATATTTATCAGACGATAATTCGTGACTAAAAGTTAGGGATGGCCTCGTCTTGTTGCAAACTTCAGTTAACTTTTACGAAAATTGATAATTCTATTTTACATTGCATTATTGTCAGTAATTCAATGGTATATATTTCTCTCAATTAACTGTAGAAACCTACATTACAGAAGAGAAAGCTGAGTATTCATGGAGGATGCATTGTCAAGTTAAAGACAACATATAGAGAACTGAAGTGAGGTAGCTAGTTTAACTTCACAAAAAAATTTAAGATTTATTTCAATATCTTCTTCTATTGAGCTACCCATGTAGCTTTCTTTGCGCCTTTTTAATGGAATTTAAAGTAGTTGAAGGATCAAACTCTTGCACAACTTTTTTAGGTAAGAGAATATTTACCAACGAAGACTAATCAGTATAAATTTGCGGATGATAGAAATTAAACTCCTGCTTATTCATGAAGTCCACATATCAAAACATGAACAAAACTTTTCAAGGAAGAAAAATAAAGAAGTTTAATAGAATCTTCAAGCAATTGGAAAGTAAAAGCGCATAAACGAAATGTACCATATAAGCTTGTGAGGGCAAAGTTGTCATGAAAACAAACTTGCATTTACAATCAGCATTATATGGACAATAAGAGCATAAGTTATAGAAAGAGATGGTAATGGTAGAGACCTGAAAGACACGCTTAAACTAAACCAATTGCATCGCCATCATTCGCTGCAAAGAGAAACATCAAAGTCAAATTAAGACTTCTAAACATCCCGTAAACTCCTTAGGATATATGAACATATAAAAAAACTCACTTGAATAGTTTTTCTGGTACTTAAAAGGATATGCCTCAACCCATAAAGTGCCACCCCGCATGACTAAACAGAGGCCGGCTGAAAATGATAACAAATATTTTTTTAGCTTCCTAATAATAACGATTAGTAAAAAGCTTAATTCTTTAAGCAATGAAGGGTAGAGTGTAATAAGAAAATGTGATTATTTATGTAAATGTGGAATTATCACCAGTAACTCCGGAAAAACTATGCACTGATTGCCTCTACTCGTGGAGTTTGAATAGCTTGTATTTTGAGCAGCAACTACCATTTCTTTACAAAACCTAAGATTATGCAGCAACTTTTGAGTGAAATCTGACCTGGTTGACATTTTTTCTAAATGTAGAACTGGATTTTTTTTGATTAAATTTGTATAATAAAACTGCAAAATCAATATAAGAAAATATACTTAAAAAAGAATATTCTTAGATTGTTCAAATCATGATAGAGCGTCAATTAATCATTCTTGGACAAGAGAAAAGAGAAGAAAATCAGAAGTTCAATAAAGCATGAATTATTGTCTGATAGATTAATAACTCTTAGTTGTATATTGAAAAAGCATCTATTTGTGATTCTTTAATATGAAATTTTCTCTTTGAACTATGTATACTACTAGCTCTCTTCCGCACCAGGCAAGTAATCAAACTACGTACTAATTCCTTGTCACGGTGTAATTATCATAGAGTTCAACACATTTCAATCAAAAAAATCCAAGTTATCACGTCATTACTAAATTGAGGTAGTGGATAACCTTGATTCTATTTGTCCTCATGCACAATTCAATCATGAGATCTTAAAATGTAAAATATAGAAAATCATGCATTGCCGTTTCATTGATTTACTTCTACTCATGGATTATGATAAGCATGAATTTTGAGCAGCAACCACCATTTCTTTACGATGCCTAAGATGATGCAGCATCTTCTATGCAAAATCCGACTTGTCTGATATTTTTTTCTGAATGTGGAACTGAATTTTTGGATTAAACTTCCAAAAGGAAAATGCAAAATCAATAAAAGCTAATATATGTAAAAAAATATTTATGGAAAGTTTCTTTTTTGGAGAAAAAGAAAAAACTTACTCATGCTCATTTTTACACCACAATCCAAATCGATAAACTGATTGAACGTTTCCTTCATATATGCATCTATTACTATGTATTCTCAGTTCTCGTATCAATCCATCATTGATAAACTAATACAATTTTATGTAAACATTGAGTGTGCATATGTTTTTTCTCTTTTTTATTCTATTATCTGCGTACACACTACTCTCCCCAGATCATACAGTGTGGGATAAGACTGGGTATGTTGTTGTTGTTGTTGTATTCTATTAGCTACTTTGGTTATCTTAAAGGTGGTCTCTAGTATGGGCATAACATAGTTTAGGCCTAATATATTATAAGCTAGAAGACTAATGTTGATTTTTTTGTGCTTTTCAATAGCTGAAATATTAGGAGAATCTGCAGCTAAAGCTTGTTATACTTTAAGCGTATACACACTTACAGTAGTTTTATGGACTCTCATGCTATTATTACTTTTGTAGTAAGTTTAATAAGCATAGTAGCACCTAGGTGTGAGATAAGACATGTTCTAAGAAATATTCATCTTTCTTAATTCATCTTTTAAAGTTACTTGGAACTGTTTACTGAAAGAGTCAGTAAGTACTGATTTAAGAGTCAATTTCTTAAAGATGAATGTGGATCAATATTTACGCTATTTTCATGGTAGAAAGAACATGCTGAAATAATAAAGTCTTCCCTTTCAAAACCTACTTTGCAAAGGTTGTCGAAATCCTGTTAAACTTTAGGCGCATACAAATGTAGAAGTTTTCCTACAGGTGAACTATTATGACTGAACATGATATGATAATAAAATATAAGTGTTCGAACATAATGGCAGATTTGATAGAAAAAAATTTCGCAATTGCTTCACCTAATTAATACATTTATCTAATATTTTGGCAATAAAGCATAACCAACAACATAAACAAAAGAAATGAACAAACTCACGAAATCCCACTTTCAGATATATCAAATTCCGAGTGTATACATAAGCGATCAGGGAATGATTACTCGGAAGGATAGTGTTGCATTATTCCAAAATTTTATTAGTAAATATCACAGTAACATGAACTTGCAATATAGTAATCTATATATTAATTAAAAAGGATTATTTTCAACATTACCAGTCTAGTATTCGTATCCATGCATTGTATTTTATTAAACATGGCAGATTTGTTGCTATCCATCTCTTCCTGTATGTGAACTGGACCTACAAATGTTTCAGGAATCATCTCAGCAACTATTTTTCCAGTTGGTTCATCAACGCCAACAACAAAAATTCTAAATTCAAAAAAAAAAAGATATAATTATTTATGCTATTATGGAATCACCAACAGTAAATTCAATAGGTCATAGTGCGACTAATTACAGAAGTTTCTTAATCACTCAGAAGAGAAAAAGAAACAGAACCATAAATGATAGAAATTTAGAACTGAGTTAAAAAGAATATATGTACAACAACAACAATAACAACGACCCAGTATAATCCCATAAGTGGGATCTGGGGAGGGTAGTATGTATACAGACCTTACCCCTACCCCCAAGGGTAGAGAGGCTGTTTCCAGGAGACCCTCGGCTCAAAAAGCAACAGGAGCCGATATTAAAAAGAATATCTGTATATATTTACAAAAAAATTAAGACCTGATATTTTGTAGTTCCAGAAATCCCCTTTCTGACGGCACAAGCGGATCGTGATTTCGATATGCCTATAGAGAGATATAGAAATTTTTGTCATGTCTTCAAAGCTGTAAAAAGCCAAAATGACAAAAAATTCATAACTCAGTTCAAAAGAATATCTGTATAAATTCACAAAGAATCTGGACTTCAATTTTGTATATATTGTAGCTCCAGAAGTCATCTTTCCAATGGCACAAGGGGATCGTGGTTTTAGCGTGCCTACAGAAAGATATAACTTTTTTAGTCAGGACGCGCATAGTTGTGAAAAGAAGAATACCTGAAATTTTAACTGAATTCAAAAGTATATCTTTACAATATACGAAGATTCTTGACCTTATTTTTGTATATAATGTAGTTCCAAAAGTCATCTTTCTAACGGAACAAACAGATAATGATTTTGATGTGCCTATATAGATATAAGTACTTTCAATGAGGGTGTGTAAAGATATGAAAAACAAAATGATAGAACTTTATAACTAAGTTTAAAAGAGTATCTGTATAAATTTACAAAGCATCTGGACTTGAATTTTGTATATATAGTAGCTCTAGAAGTCGTCT